TGCTGTGCTAGCTGCTGGTSTTTATTCGGGAGGGGTGATTTTAATCCCAAAATGACATCCATAAATCCTAGTRAAGCCAAGTCTTCTCTCAAGTAGGCAATTAAAACCACTTTATTGTGGAAAAGTAGGGAGGATTTAACTAAAAGAGACAGTAAGGAAATCCATAGATACTTTAAAATGGAAATGCAACTTGGGAATTATTCATTATGAGATGAATGAAGCCATACAATAAATTAGCTGCTGGTGAGATRTCTTGCTGCTTTGCAACTCTTTGTTTATGCATTCAGATGTTTAAAAGATGAGATGATTTGCAGACAGTGCATGCTTAAAATGTTGCTCTGTAGTAAAAAAGCTGATTGTCTGGTAGGATTGCATTTCATTACAAATAGCAGAGTTTAAAGAATTTGTGTTCAGTGAGTATTTGTTGAGCTTTGCGGTTGTTTCTTTGTTAACGACTCTTTACCACTTGTCTTCATCCTGATTAATTTGTACAGTGCATTTATGCATTAGCATTCTCCTGAGGSTCTCTGAGTATTTGGCTTTACACAGCAGGTAATTCTAGATTAGTAAGCAGGRTGAAAACTGTCAGTTCTCAAAGAAAATCTAGTGTGTTGAATAAAAAGATGCACRTTGTACTTTTCTATTAAAGTTCTGTGTTTTTCCACCTCTTTATAGCTGCAAAAGAAAACACATGTTCGAGGTAGAACAATTTATTGACACAGAAGTTACCTTTTTTGATGATTTACAGCAGTCAAAGTTAGTGCTGAGGATATGTAAACCAAAGCTCACAAATTCTTGCACAGGACYTGCCAGTCATGGTCAAACTCATCAAAATATCTGGGGCACCTTTCCCTCCCCCAGAAGTGGCTGTTTCAAATGAGTTCTCAGTAATCAGGAAGTTTTCAGATTTGGACAATTGGATCTGTGTGGGTGATGAGTGAGATCATGGAGAACATCCTGACTGTTGGTCTGTGTCATGTACCAAAGGATTCACTGCATCCCTGTCTCCCAATGACTGAAAGGAGTGCCCTGCTGTGGGGCAATAATGGTATCAAAGGCTCCTGCTGCCTCAGGGACAGAAAGAGTGATGAGATACTGGCACCTGTGCAAGAGTTGTTRCTTACCCTTAAAAAGTAAGAGGATAATGTGAGAAACAACGAGATCTGGCTGGAACCTTAAAGTGAGCTCTGAATGTCACCACATGTCATTGGCCTGTAACAATAATGCAATCATGCCTTTAGCAGCACCTCAATTAGTGAATAGTCACASAAAAACTGCAGCTCAGACCCAGGAATACACCATGGCACTCAGCTGTGGTCAAAATCAGTGAAATCRAGGCACTAATTATTACAGATATTGATATGACTGTCAGAGAGCTCTAATGACTGCCTCGTGGTCTGTGCATGGAATGTTTTAAACTGGAAAGAGCCCTGCACTTAATTGACTTTGTGATGAGCACTGCACTGAGTTGCTGGGGTTTTATTTGGCTGAATAATTGTGAGAGATCTTAATGTAAAGTTTGTGTTATTTTTCCTTTGCATGCTAATAACACCAATAGATAATGTAGAGAACAGATGTATGTGAGAACAGCAACATACAAAATGCAAAAGTGTGCCTTTCACAGGACATTTTTGTATCAGCAGGTGCTCTRTAATGTCACTGTAATGGGATCAGTTGCACTGCATTTCTTTAGCTCCAGGTTCTTAAACACAGCTTGGGCTTCCTCAGCAAATTACCAAAAAGAAAAGCTCTGGCTTCAAGAGCAGGAAATCTCACTCAGATTAAAACAGTATTTACAGCAAGACCTAGTGACACAGTGATTTCCTGTGAAAGGCACCTGTTCTCATATGTTACTGTTCTCACATACATTTGTTCCCTGCATTATCTGTCAG